TCTAATAATTACTTAAAAAATTTCCCTCACAGTCATAAATATTCTAACTCAACAATTAAGAATTCCTAAAAATAACCCTTAAAAACAACAACACATTTTTCTTGTCCTTGTCCTCAAAATTAATCTCTTTCCTCTCATTTTCCTTCAAATCCTTTAGGTTTTTAATCGCCTCGAATATATTTTTATTTTACCAAAAAACCTTCTCCTCCCCCTCAACAAAATTTTAAAAGATTAAATGTCCAGCTGTGATGGCTAATCTTTTCTTTTTTCTCTTCTTCCCTCCCTCTCTTCCATTTCATACCCTTCACAGTCATTTTACGCCTAAAAATTTTTTTACTATTTTTAATAGCAAATCTAAAAGAATATATCCTCTTAGAAAGCAGCCTCTTTAAAAAGCTGCCCCGGAAATGACAATTTAACACAAGGCCATAAATATATAAAAATAAAAGAGGATGAAAATTAGAAGCAAAAATAAAAGGAGAGAGAGAGGGTATTTTGTTTTAATTGTCAACAAAAATAAATTTCTGGATAAAAGATCCTAGCGGTGCGCCAAAAAAATTTTTTACCGGAAAAGGAATTATAAACACAGGAAAATGCAAAAAATTCTGATTTTTAAATATGTATAAAATACACACACGTATATTTTTCAGAATTAAAAATTCTGGTTTTGAAAATACAGAAACACACACGCGTATATTTTTCAGAATTAATAATTCTGATTTTTAAAATACAAAAACACACACAAGTATATTTTCAGAATTAAATATTCTGATTTTTAAATATGTATAAAATATACAGATAAATTCTGATTTTTTCTTCCTATGTATTTTTTCAGAATTAAAAATTCTGATTCTGAAATACAAAAACACACGCATATATTTTTCAGAATTAAATATTCTGATTCTAAATACAAAAATACATAAATTCTGAAATAATAAAACACAAGTAAATTCTGATTTTCTGATTCTGATTTTAATTTATATTAATAAAAAAAATCAGAATTATCGTCGTATTTACAATTCTGAAATATTTAAAACTGCATTTGTATTTCATTTTGTATTTTGAACCAGAATTATTAAATTCTGAAATAATATGTATTTGTGTGTATTTTTTAAGTTTAATTCTGATATGTATTTTTCGCGAATAAAATATAAGATGTGCGCAAAAACGTAAAAATATAGCTGGAGCGCGACATTTGCAAAACTCAAAAGACTAAAAAATTTTTTTTAATCTAAAGTAATTTTATTTTCAACACTTTCTGACTGAAAATTATCCAAAAAAATTTTTCCTACTCTATTTTTATATTTTTTTTATTTTCGTCCCTATACTATCTTCCCTTTAACACACCTTCCACTAAGCCATTGTTGGCATTTTCTACTAAGCCTTCTCATTGCCAATGGGGGTGACATTGTTATTTGTGAATTATTTTGTTTATTATTTATTTGTTTTTGTTGTTTTTGTTGTTGTTCTCTTTCTTCGGATTGACGTAATGACCCTCCAAGTAATTGATCCCGACTAAGTTGTGTTCGACGTTGAAAACGCCTATTACTACCATTACGTCCACCAAGTTGGGGTGAATGAAAATATGAAGGAATACGAGAAGAGGGGGAAGAATAATAATTATTATTGGAAGAATAGGTAGATGAATAAGGCAAATAAACATTTTGTTGGTGGTGTTGTATTGGCATTTTTTTGCCTTTTTATTTTTTTTAAAGATTTTACTTTTAACTTTAAAAATGAAAAAAATAAGGAAAAAAATATGAAAAATAGAACAGTAAAAATAACTGAAAAAATAATGGAAGGATTAGCAAAAAAGAATTAATTTAATTTTTTAAAAATGGCAAAGATTATGGAAAAATTTCTGGAGATACGAAAAAAAAATAAAAATTCCGATTTTATTTTATTAATTCAGAAAACAAATTCTGTTTTAAATTTTAAAAAATATATTCATATTTTTCTGAAAAACACAATTTTATTAGATGATATTAGGGTAGCACCCCGAGCCTTCGGGGGCGGGAGTGTCAGGTTTCGGGGTTCAAGTCTAGGTAGAGCCTTCGGAGTTAGGGTCGGGGTTTTTGCCTAAAAATTCGTCAAGGTTTGTCAGGGTTTCGGGGAACGGGTCGGGGTTTTTGCCTAAAAATTCGTTGAAGGTTGGGGTTTCGGGGTGGTAAATGTTACCTAGAGGATATGTCCATTTACAATACTGAATTATACAAAAATAATAATTCTTTTTTTTTCAATTTTTGTGCACTATAATGAAAATAATACAAGGAAAATGACCGCCATATTGTCTGAAAAGGTTGGAATTTTTAAAAAAATAGAGGTTAGACGATGATTGCAAGAAAGGAAAATGCCGTTATTATAGTCAACAACCAGATGTCGCCTCTAAAAATAAAAAAATGCAGAAAAAAGATGGAAAAGGACGAAGAAAAAATAACCAAAAAAACAAGCATATTTGGGGGGGGGGGGTTGACGAGGAGAGAGGTTGAAAAAAATTGATGGTAGTGGTGGTTTGGTGTTAAGTAAAAAGGACAAAAGTTGAAAAGAAAAAAGTGAAAATGGGGAGGTAGAGTCGAAGATGTTTTTGGGGAAAATCTCGAGCTGCAATTAATGCCTGTAGACTCGAAAATCCAAGGATCCCGAAAGGATTTCCTGAAATTTTTCGAACAGGACTGAACCCCATTGGATTAAACTCGAAAATTCCGTCAACCAAGAAAATTAGAAAAAAAACTGGCTTTTTAGGACGGCATCACAGAAAATCCCTTTTCGAGGTTGATTTCTAATCAAATTAGGCTCCTATATCATACCTCGTCGCACAATTTAGCCGATATATAAGGAAAGTTAAATGGCAAGGCAAGTGCCATACTAGAGAAGGGAAACAGGTGTCATACATATTTAAGAGACGTCTGAGAGATTCGACAGCCCTCCCCCTCCCCTCCCTCTCCCTCCAAAATGTCAAAAAAAAATAATAATTAAATTTATTAAAAGGACACAAAACCCCCCGTAAAGGTCACTTGATTTGATTCAATTAATATTTAATTACCAAGGCTGGTTATATTATAAATTGTTGGGTGAAAGAAAAAAAAGTTAAAAAGGGTGAGAAAATAATTTTTTGAAATTTTTTATTGCGTATACTTTCTCTTCAAATAAATTTATTAACGCTTGATTTGATTCAAAAGGGATTAAAAAAATAAAAAATAAAAATAATCAGTCAAGAGTTTTGATTTATTTTAGTAGTTTAGTAAAATACGCATTATTAGTCTACTGACAATACAAATAGTGATAAATTTGAAAGAAAATAAAGAAAGAAAAAGAGAAGATTGGTATAAAAATGAAATTAAAAATAAATATTTAAAAAAGGATTGATAAGAAAGGAAAAAAATATTTTTTTTTTGGACTAGAAAAATTCTTCAAATATCCAAAAACAGAACCAAAAAAAATTTTTTAGCGAAGCAAATAAATTTTTTTATAAAGATAGTTAAAAATGAGAAAATTAAATTTTCATTAAATTATTTCAAACTGAACTCAATCCTGCGAGATTAATCTTAAAAATCCTGTTAATTCCCAAAAATTGAAAAAAACACTGGAGCTTAGGACTTAAGAGCCCAATCCGGCCCGGTCCGAAAAATCAATTCGGGCATTCAACTTTGGCCCGAAAAAGATTCGGTCGGGCCGTTCCGATAAAAATGATTCGAACGTCGGCCCGACTCGAAAACCCCCCAAACCTACATATTTCTAAAATATTTTTTTCCTCTTAGAAGGTAGCGTATTTTTAGGACATCCAAAAAAATTTATTAGGGCATCCGAAGAAACCCGAACCAATGGAATAAAAAACTTAAAAATTCGACTTCGAACCAACAACCCAAATTTATTTAAAAAATTAATATTTAAAAATGCAACAAACTAGCTAATAAAACATTTAAAAATAGAGAAATAAAAGAGTCAAATGGTTGGAAATAAAGTTTAAAAATATATAAGTTAATTTTAGTTATATATGACAGAGTTTAAACTGAAAAATTCTTTTTTAAAGGTCCAGGACTGAAAAAAGAAAAAAAAGATTTATTTGTGTTTAAAGGATATATTTAAAACTAAAAGCAAAGTTGACAAGTGAAAATGAAGAGGAAAAAATATTTTAAGAAAAGACAGAGAAAAATCGGCTTTAAAATTGAGTAGAGATACTTAAACATAAATATTAACTAAAATTTAAATTAATATTTTAAAAGAGGATTAATAATTAAATAAATTGGGAAAAAATAATTTTTTAATGATAATAATTTGTTTTTGACAATCAAAAACGAAAAAATACAAAATAATTTGTAAGGGTAAAATACGACCGATTTTAAAACCCAAATTTTTGAAATATTTTGCCAGAGATTTAACGTTTTTATGAAGTTTTAAAAACCGAAAACCGGAAATTCAAGAAAATGAGTAATATTTTTAAAAACTCCCCCAAAATAAAACCGATATTTGACCAAAACTCAAAACCGAAAACCGGAGTTTTAAAATTAGGTTATTAACCGATACCGGGGTATCGGTTAATAACCGGTTGTGTCCTGCCCTAATACAAACACAAAAAATACAAATTATATAAAAGAATTGGGTCTACATCTCAAAAATCTTGAATCCGATAACCGGGATTTTTGAGTTCGAGATCTAGTCACAGTTCAATCTCTCGAGCTTTTGTTTCGATAAGCTTTTGTTTCGAGCTTTTGTTTCGATCCAAATAAACACAAAAAAAAATCAAAAAATACAAAAGAGGAAATTTACATATGTACTGTATTTTTATTTTGTAATTATTACAATCTTACTTTAAAAAAATTAAAAAACAAAAAAAAAGACAAGAGCGCAAATCTATAAAGAAATGAAATGCTTGTTTACTACAATTTATTACTTTTAAAATACAACCGGAAATGAAAAGGAGAGAGAAAAAAAGAAGAAGAGAGATCGTTCCGGAAAAAGGAGAGCAATAATTGTTGTAATTAATTAAATTTGTAAAAAACACAAAAAAATCAGAACACAAACAATAAATGTACACGAAATTTAATAGACGTTATAAATCTAAAGAAAAATAAAATAAAAATCAGAATTATAATTTGTAATTCTGAATTTTTCATTAGCGATAAGAAAAAAAACAGAAACACAAATATTTAATAAAAATCAGAAAATCAGAATTAAATAAAAAAAAAGAATGTTTCCGGAAAACACAAAAAATGTCTTACATGTTTTTCCGGAAAACACAAAAAAATACATAAAAAAACAAACCAGAATTATTACAAATTCAAAAAAAATACAAATCAGAATTACAATCAGAAATGCAATCAGAAATACAAATAATTAACCCAAAATACAAAAATCAGAACAAAATAACAACAGAAACCAGAATCACAATTTGTAATTCTGGTTTTTGTATTTTTGTTAAAAAATAACAGAAGATCAGAATTTAACGAAAATACAAATCAGAATTACAATCAGAAATGCAAATATTAACCCGAAATACAAAAATCAGAATTAACGGAAAAATACAAAACAGAATTTAAATACAATAAAAACCAGAATTAAATAGAAACATCAATAAAACCAAGTAAAATTAATAAATAAAAATTAAAACTACAAATAAATATTTATTTAATTATTAATAAAATAAGAAAAAAATTTATATAAATAAATAAAAGGTATTTTTCATTAAAAAATTTATTTTTTCCGAGAATTTTTCGCGCGCTGAGATTAGCAAACAATAACAATTGTTTGTGAAGGAAAAAATGTTAAAATGATGAATTTAAAAAAATAAATGAAAAATAAAGAGATAAAAATAACACAAAAATAATTTAAAAAAATATAGGAAAAATAGATAAGAGAAAATGAAAATTAAAAAAATAATGAAAATGAGTAAGAGAGATAAGTGCCGCGCGCTGGTTTTTTAAATAAATAAATTTTCATTTTTGTTTGATGCCCTAATTTTATTTTTTTAAATAAAATAAAAGGAAAATTGAGTTAAATAAATTATTAAAAAATATTATTCTGAATTTCCCCTCTCTAAAATACATAATATCAATTTTTATTTTTATCTCTCAATAATCGCCTTATCGGCATTTAAAATCACGCACACACACGCGCTAATGAACACAAAAAATAACAGCAAAAATCCTCAAATAAATATATTTATTTCTTTCTCAACTGGATTTGAAACCCCTAAAAAATATCCCTCATAAATAATCAAAAATAATGAAAATAAAAAATAGTTATCGAAAAATAATTTCAAGAAAACATAAAAATCAGGACTGCGCGTGGAACGCCAAAAGTGAAACGCCATGGCGCACATCCCTAGTATATATAACTGAATACATGTTTCCGGAAAACATTCTTAAAATGTTTTGTTTTTTCCGGAAAGTTTGTTTAATAATCTTGTAAAATAAAAACAAAGTTTTCCGGAAAATATTAAATTTATAAACTTTCCGGAAATATAACGAGAATAGGGAATAGAACATTCCGGAAATTATATTCGCATATTAAAACAAAAAAAAGTTTTCCGGAAAATACAATATTATAAACTTTCCGGAAATATAACGAGAATAGAACCTTCCGGAAATATATTTTATAATATTAAAACACAAATAAAAAGTTTTCCGGAAAATGCAATATTATGAACTTTACGGAAATAATTTTATTGGAGAATAGAACTTTCCGGAAATTATATTAGCTTATGCAAAAACAGGTTTCCCTTTTTACAAACTTAAGTTTACCAACTTTTTTTAACAACGCTTTTTATTATTTACACAAATTTAATTTAAAATAAGTACCCACCCTAAGGTTGAAGAACACCAAGACTGATCCATTCCCCATATATTATTAATATCAGAATTTAAAGAAGTTGTTGTTGATAATGTTGTTTTATTAGAATTGTTTTGTTTTTCCGTCTCTTTTATTTTGGAAATAGGTTCACTGGTTTGTGCAGTTGTTGAATTGCTACAAGAACAGAAACCTTTAAGCAGATCATTCCAAGACCACACTGAAGCCATAATGAAGAGAAACTAAAAAATAGAAAAATTAAATTTTAAAAATACAAGTTTTCAGGAAAATATATTCCGGAAACAACAATTTTGTTTTCAGTAATTGTTTATATTTCAGGGAAGGGATTCCGGAAAAAGTTTAAATTCAGGAACATATACATACACGTTTCCGGAAATTATCTATTTAAATATATTTCCGGAAAACTTGTATACGTTTTCCTGATTTCTCCGGAAATATATTTCTAATAGATAATTTCCGGAAAATATAATATTACAAACCTTCCGGAATATATACTTACTTAAAGAATAGAACTTTCCGGAAAATATAAAGAATATGCAGGAAACAAGTTTTCCGGAAAATATAATATTACAAACTTTCCGGAAATATATACTCTATTCAGAAATAAAACTTTCCGGAAAATATATAGAAAATGCAGGAAACAATTTTTCCGGAAAATATTTTTAAAATTATTGCTTCAGCTATGCCTCACAAAAACATTTATGTATAATTTTTAATATAACAATGTTTCACAAGTAATTAAAAAATACTAACTAGAAGAATGTAAAGTCCCGTTTACTTAACTTTTTCCGTAATTTATTTCTCAAGTGTTAAATGCTTTTAATGATTAAGTTAACGTCCTTTCAATATTATTCAAGCGCAAATACTCTTCAATCATTTTATTAATTAATAGTTATAACTACAAAATACTAAAAACAAGTAATCTAAATAATCTCGTTTCTTAAGACCAACAATTAAAAAAGCTACTTAAGTCATAATTTAAATTAATTATGTGCAAACACATAATTAATTAAAATAAATTAGAGTTAATAATTTATTGAAACGTCAAAATATTTTTAAAAAATAGCGAATTCTGTTAAAATCGCCAATAAATTATTCCGGAAAGTTATATTATTTTCAAGAAAATTGATTCTCCGGAAACTTTATAACTCTAAAAATTTTCTGGAAAAATTATAACACCAAAAAATATATCCGGAAACATTAGAAATCTAAGTTTATTTTCCGGAAGCATTATAACTCCAAGAATATATTTTTCCGGAAAACCTTAAAACTAAAAATTGATTTTCCGGAAACTTTATAACTCTAAAATTAGTTTCCGGAAGTATTATAACTCCTAAAATATATTTTTCCGGAAAACTTTAACACTAAAAATAAGTTTTCCGGAAACATAACTCTAAAATGTATTTTCCGGAAATTTATAAATATTATTTAAGTTTATTTTCCTGAATTATAATTACAAAAGGAAAACCAGAATATACAATTCAACTCAAATTGAATTAATAATTCTGACCTTGATTTTAAAATTTAATAAAAATAAAAAAGAATTTCCCCTACTTGTTTTGCAGTAGTTGTAATTTTCTTATTAATTGTTTGTTGCTTTTCCCTCACTTTTTAATTGCTACGTAGTTAGTAGTAGTCAACTCAAAACAAAATTACAAGCAATTCAGTGAGTTGTTTTGAAGAAAATAAAAAAAAACTAATTATGAAGCAAATCCGTGTTTAAATAAGCAACAATTTACAAAAATATAAATTTTTATTTTTGCTATCAAAACGGATCTAAAAAAATAAAACAAATAAATTATTAAAAAAATCTCAATGGAAATGAGGGTAATTCAAAAAAAAAACATGTCAAACAAAATAAAAGTAAAAGGTGAATAAACGGGATGAGTGTGAAAAATGAAAATATATGAGAAAATTTTTAGAAATTTTTTTTGTTAATTTTTTTGAAGCAAATTAGAATGAAAAAAAATAAATTTTTAAAAATTTTATAAAAATGTTCTCACATATTTAAGGGTTATTAAAATTGTTTCTGGTCTTTTCTAGCTTCAAAGAGAAAACAAAAATTGGTGGGTTTGTTAGCAAAATTGTTTGGGAAAAAAGGTTAGAAAATAGAGAAAATAATTGTGGACTAGTAAATATGTGGTCATCTCAAATAAATACAAGCCTGCTGTAAACAACAATAATTATTTGTTTTGTAGCCTTTGCGCTATTTATTGAAGCGGAATATTCTTTTTGTTATTCCGAAAATCATGAGAGATTTTCTCAAAAACTTTTTACAATTTGTAAAAAAGTTGTTACAATTTTGTAAAAAAAAGTTTTAGTGAATATCTATTGAAGATTGTAAAGTTTTAGCAGTTTTACAATTTGTAAAAAGTTGGTAAGTTTGCCGCTTTACGATAAAGTTTTCGCAATTTGCATAAAAATTACAATTTGTAAAAAGTTGTAAAACTTTGAAAATAGGAGAAAAGAATAACAGGAAAGAAACAATTTTTGATTTTAAAACCTGACAATTTTTTGACAAAAAAAATAAAAATTTCAAACAAAAATATAAATTTTATTTATTTAAAATAAAAAAAGCAACACAAGTTTTAGTCAAAAACAACACCAAAATCTGTGCGCAACAAAATTAAGAATATAAATTGAACAAAAAATTATGAGAAAAGAAGCAATGCAACTAAATAGAAAAATAAAAATAAATTACTTTTTCTGACAGTCGATGGGGAAGGAAATTATAAAGTTTTTAGGTAGAAAAGAAGGTGTAAATGAGGGGAATAATAAAAAGAAATAAATAAATATAGAATAAATGTAAAACAATAAATTAATTGTAAAAAGTTTTTACAATTTGTAAAAAAGTTGTTACAATTTTGTAAAAAAAAGTTTTAGTGAATATCTATTGAAGATTGTAAAGTTTTAGCAGTTTTACAATTTGTAAAAAGTTGGTAAGTTTGCCGCTTTACGATAAAGTTTTCGCAATTTGCATAAAAATTACAATTTGTAAAAAGTTGTAAAACTTTGAAAATAGGAGAAAAGAATAACAGGAAAGAAACAATTTTTGATTTTAAAACCTGACAATTTTTTGACAAAAAAAATAAAAATTTCAAACAAAAATATAAATTTTATTTATTTAAAATAAAAAAAGCAACACAAGTTTTAGTCAAAAACAACACCAAAATCTGTGCGCAACAAAATTAAGAATATAAATTGAACAAAAAATTATGAGAAAAGAAGCAATGCAACTAAATAGAAAAATAAAAATAAATTACTTTTTCTGACAGTCGATGGGGAAGGAAATTATAAAGTTTTTAGGTAGAAAAGAAGGTGTAAATGAGGGGAATAATAAAAAGAAATAAATAAATATAGAATAAATGTAAAACAATAAATTAATTGTAAAAAGTTTTTACAATTTGTAAAAAAGTTGTTACAATTTTGTAAAAAAAAGTTTTAGTGAATATCTATTGAAGATTGTAAAGTTTTAGCAGTTTTACAATTTGTAAAAAGTTGGTAAGTTTGCCGCTTTACGATAAAGTTTTCGCAATTTGCATAAAAATTACAATTTGTAAAAAGTTGTAAAACTTTGAAAATAGGAGAAAAGAATAACAGGAAAGAAACAATTTTTGATTTTAAAACCTGACAATTTTTTGACAAAAAAAATAAAAATTTCAAACAAAAATATAAATTTTATTTATTTAAAATAAAAAAAGCAACACAAGTTTTAGTCAAAAACAACACCAAAATCTGTGCGCAACAAAATTAAGAATATAAATTGAACAAAAAATTATGAGAAAAGAAGCAATGCAACTAAATAGAAAAATAAAAATAAATTACTTTTTCTGACAGTCGATGGGGAAGGAAATTATAAAGTTTTTAGGTAGAAAAGAAGGTGTAAATGAGGGGAATAATAAAAAGAAATAAATAAATATAGAATAAATGTAAAACAATAAATTAATTGTAAAAAGTTTTTACAATTTGTAAAAAAGTTGTTACAATTTTGTAAAAAAAAGTTTTAGTGAATATCTATTGAAGATTGTAAAGTTTTAGCAGTTTTACAATTTGTAAAAAGTTGGTAAGTTTGCCGCTTTACGATAAAGTTTTCGCAATTTGCATAAAAATTACAATTTGTAAAAAGTTGTAAAACTTTGAAAATAGGAGAAAAGAATAACAGGAAAGAAACAATTTTTGATTTTAAAACCTGACAATTTTTTGACAAAAAAAATAAAAATTTCGAACAAAAATATAAATTTTATTTATTTAAAATAAAAAAAGCAACACAAGTTTTAGTCAAAAACAACACCAAAATCTGTGCGCAACAAAATTAAGAATATAAATTGAACAAAAAATTATGAGAAAAGAAGCAATGCAACTAAATAGAAAAATAAAAATAAATTACTTTTTCTGACAGTCGATGGGGAAGGAAATTATAAAGTTTTTAGGTAGAAAAGAAGGTGTAAATGAGGGGAATAATAAAAAGAAATAAATAAATATAGAATAAATGTAAAACAATAAATTAATTGTAAAAAGTTTTTACAATTTGTAAAAAAGTTGTTACAATTTTGTAAAAAAAAGTTTTAGTGAATATCTATTGAAGATTGTAAAGTTTTAGCAGTTTTACAATTTGTAAAAAGTTGGTAAGTTTGCCGCTTTACGATAAAGTTTTCGCAATTTGCATAAAAATTACAATTTGTAAAAAGTTGTAAAACTTTGAAAATAGGAGAAAAGAATAACAGGAAAGAAACAATTTTTGATTTTAAAACCTGACAATTTTTTGACAAAAAAAATAAAAATTTCAAACAAAAATATAAATTTTATTTATTTAAAATAAAAAAAGCAACACAAGTTTTAGTCAAAAACAACACCAAAATCTGTGCGCAACAAAATTAAGAATATAAATTGAACAAAAAATTATGAGAAAAGAAGCAATGCAACTAAATAGAAAAATAAAAATAAATTACTTTTTCTGACAGTCGATGGGGAAGGAAATTATAAAGTTTTTAGGTAGAAAAGAAGGTGTAAATGAGGGGAATAATAAAAAGAAATAAATAAATATAGAATAAATGTAAAACAATAAATTAATTGTAAAAAGTTTTTACAATTTGTAAAAAAGTTGTTACAATTTTGTAAAAAAAAGTTTTAGTGAATATCTATTGAAGATTGTAAAGTTTTAGCAGTTTTACAATTTGTAAAAAGTTGGTAAGTTTGCCGCTTTACGATA